GTCCGCCTGTCCGTTTCCTGCCCAACACAAATGAAATAGCTTCTAAAACAGCCTTCTCATGGTGACGGCCGACATAATGACCTTTCACTTCGTTCATTCCATTCCCCATCTGTGAGTAGAGCCCAGACATCCTTCTGAGGCCAGTCTTGACGCCGAGTCGCCGACAGTAACCTAAAGTAAAGTCTAGAGCTTCCCCAGCCTTATCTAAAACGTGGTCAGCCAATCGTTGCCGTAGCTTGATGTTGACGTGAAAATCGTCACGGCATGCGTTGAGAAACATCCTCTCAAATGCAAACGTCTCATTTTTGATGTCAGTTCCCGTACGAATTTATGTTCGTGGACAAGTGCAAGTTGAGAAGGACACCCAAGTACAGCTTGGACGCCTCTGCCTCGCATGTTCCGAGAAAGACTTTCTACAAACTCAAGTACAGCTTGTAACTAGTTCTGGACTACTAGTCTCTGTCAATCCGAAGACGTACAAATCCTTCTGAATTGCATGGTCAGATGTTTGATATGCACCTTGGATTAGGCGTTCGTGTGTTGGAACTACTAATGGTTACCGTTGTTCTCCTTAGTTTGGGTAATCTGTGATGACCACAAGATTTTAGCAACATCTCACGAGCGGTCATGCTCATATCGGAGACTGACGGCTTCGACTAGACTCCGAGGAGTGGACCATTTGATTCCAGATTTGACAAAGAATTTATTTAACAGAAGCGAGCCTGCATTATGTAAACTTCGTGAGACCTAGGAGCGGACTATTCAATAGCATGACCCGAAAACACAGCGAAGCGCTGTAGATAACCGTGAGGCCTCACAAAATGATGAAGGTTTCTGAGAGATTTTTGAAAAATTGGTATGAAAGTGTCAAGATGGCTCGGAGAGGTCGCAATTCCTGCATCCACCAACGCAGAATTCACCCCCTCCCAATCTGCGCCCTCTTTCCAAGATTTTCAGTTCTGGTTGAGAGCGCTGAAGCTTGTTCCATGGTAATTTCAGACAGGGCTAAAATTACCTCGATGACAAATGGATAGTAATCTGGAACCAAATACGTCGAGAGAAAGCCTATCAACCTCAGCTATCATTGAGTACTATTTCGGAACCTCGAGCGAGGAGCAATTTGACCGTCATCCGTAGAAATACATACCCTTTACCCAGATGCACAGGAAAAATTGGACACAGCGTAGACACACAGCGAGATCCAAATGAACAACAAGGTCTTCCCACCTCTGTTCGTTGAAAAGTGGAAGTGAAAGAAGGCTTCATTTGAAGTTCAAGACGATTGGAGTTATTTGGCAAGTATATACAAAAAATCTAGATGCGGATAATAAAGCTTTCAAATTTTGTTAATATGAATTTGAAGAAGGCAAAGTCAGATCTTATTTAAAAAACGTCTTTCGTTCCAGTCAATACCACTGAATAGGTTATTCATGAAAAGTCGCAGGCAGTTTCAATGGCCGCCGAAATGACTGCAGTTTGGTCTATTGCTGTGATTGTGTCGAAGGTTATTTCGCTGCCAGAAGCCGACGGATATGTCCATGTGGATGTACTTCGACAGTAATGGCCGGAGATGAAAGTTCAAATGAGATGTCGGTACTTGGGAAAAACTTCCTAATGGCGAGCACTGCAGGGAAGCAAAAATCGAGTGATAGGTGAACAAGTTCGAGACAATAGGGATTCGGAGAGCTATACGTAGTAGGGATTGATAGCGAGAGTGAGAAAAATGAAGACCATTACGCATAAGATGTCCCTTTCTAAATAATAAGAGGACGGCTGAGAAAAATTGGGGCGAAGGGGAATCACAGAGCAAGAACCAATCGAGTCATTGGAACCCTTCTGGAAAGCATAGATCTGCTCGGAAGCACCTTTAGAAGAGGTCTTTGATTAGTCACAAATTTTCTGATATCACAATGGAGGTATGGAGAGAGACCGAAAGAGACGTCCGAAAATTCATGCACTAAGAAACACCAGCAAACTCAAAGCATGTAGGCGAACTTTTGTCGATCGATCCCGAAAGCTCCTGATGAGTGGATTATTCGGTAAAGGACTGAATTCTGCCCTTAAAATCTTTATTTCGCTGTGAAAAACAGGTTGAAGCCAGCGCTGCACCTCCCTTTCATCTGAATTCATCTGAAGCCTCATAAAATTCAAGCAAGTCAAAAGAAGTCTCATCTCTTGACAGTCCACTAACAGGAAGGAGGAGTCCACTAGTAGTCCAAAATCCCGAACCACAGTGACCACGCTAGTTTCTCAAAATTGACGCTTGTTATGCAAAACATGGAAAGGGTTGGATCAAGTGGAGCGGTGTGTAACAGATATGGTTTATATGGATTTGAGATCAAATTCGGAACAAACAGGCCGAACAAGCTCTCTTTCGTTTGGTCGGTCGACTAATTGGTTGTAAGATCGTCTGGGAAGATAAAAGTGTTGAATCGAACATCGGCGACAGCCGCCTAGGCCGAGTAGGCCTCCCCGCATGCAAATGTCTCCAAGATTCTGAATGAAAATCACGTGGCCGCATGACAAATAGGATTGATTGCAGCCAAAATACTTCAAGTTTTTATCCGCGATTAAAAAACGGTATAAGCCCCATCTCTTGGCAAGTCAATGAGCCCTAATTTACAAGTACGGCGGAAATT